TGGATGGATGAAATCTAGTATGACAATGACAACAAAAGACTAATTTTAAAATATTACCTATTTGTATTTAATAAATTAAAAAATATATTTATAAATTATAAATTAAAAAGTTGAAATACGGATATGAACCAAAGCATCATGGTTTCCGTCTGTACCATGAATCCTTGCTATTATTGGGGGATTTTTTTTATATATATAATTCTTCTTTATCTCCTACATATATGTCATATTGTTTGGTTGCCTGACTCTAATTAAGAAAGTAAACCCATGTCAAGAGTAACGTATTTATATGGTTTTGTTGTATGATAATAAATTTTTTAATTATAAAATTAAAAAACCATCTAACAATGTTTACTAATTAATTGAATTCTATTTGATGTCATACCTTCAATTGTTGTTGAATCCGTCAAGTACGTTATAATAAAAAATCCAAATTTTTTTTTTATTGAAAATAATAGATAATACTAAACCTTGTATTCTTAAAATCATCCTCACTTTCTTTTTGGAAAAAAACAAAACAAAATTCAAACAATGTTAAATAAAAAAGAAGAGCATAATTCAATGGGTCAATCAAATAAAGTGTTCTATGAAATTGAATTGATAAGTAGTGACCATCATTTATTCCATAAAATGATAATAAAGTAATTATTAACCTCATTTTTTAAAACGTTATATCTAAATAAATGTCCTAAGAAAAGACAATATTGATATCCAATAATGAGAGAAGTTTAAGTAAATCAAAGTATTATTTTATGTTTTAAGTGTAGGAAAATAACAAACTAAAATCAAGCGTAAATTATGGTCAATTTAACCTTGATTTGAACTTACCTATAACATTATAAAGACTAAAGTTTTGTAAATGATTTTAGTATTTCATTCTAAAATAAGGTTTGATACGATTTAAAAAAGGACGCTTATCATGAAAAAGTCAAAGCTAAAAGACCAACAAGATCAAGGGTGTTATTGTCATTTTCAATATATGGTGCACCATGTCACTTGCAAACAATTGGGAATTAAAAAAGAATTGAACCATTTTTTCACCCACCCACATAAAAATGCAATTATTGTTTTACTCATCAATAAGGGCAATCTTTTGCCTAGTAAAAGCTATTCTTTTTAAGTATGAAATTACCTTTAGTTTGTATGAATTATTTGTTTTTCGTCACAGGTGAAATTTATAAATTTTGTAATATTAAAAAATCATATTAATTTCCTTGTAGCATGTGTTTGCAAGGAAAAGCAAACCAACACTTTAAAGAAATGTTGTTGGATGGTATGGGTGAGGCTCCAATGGAAACCTCACACTTTTTCAACTCATAATTTTAATAAATGTCCAATCAAATTACATCTTCTATTATTTATCCTCTCTCTTTTTTTTTTCTGCCCTTTATTCTAATCAAATTAAGTTCTCATTCATTTAAGTAAACACACATCGCTATCATGGTTATGTTTTGGATTAAAGGGAGGCAGGTTTTTTTGACGTTTTTGTCCATACTATTTTAATGGGTGGTTTAAATAATCTCATTGATATATATATATATATATATATATATATATATATTTAAATTTTTTGTGACATTTTTATCTGATCTAAACCTAACCGAGTTAGTTTAGGCACCATCTCTACCAAGAAAAAATAGTGAGTTGGAATCTTCATCCGCACATGTTGTACTAAAAAAACGTATTACGTAAGATTTTATGCTAAGTGCACTACATTAATTCAACAATCAATACTACCCAGCTTAGTAATTAAGCATCTTGCTCATTTCTTAGATATTGGTTTTTTCAATCTCCATATTTGTTATACTAAAAATACATTTCATGGTTTTCAAACCAGATTCCAAATAAAAATAGATTAACAGTAGAAATGTATTCGAACCTGACATCGCAACGAGGCAATAACGCGGTGTCTCATTGGAACCCTCCACTAAACAATTCATGGAAATTGAACACCGATGCAGTTTGGAAAGAGGAACAAAGTGTCGGTGGGTTGGGATGGATCATTAGAAAAGAGAAACGAGAAATAATCAGAGTGGATAGTTGTAAACAAATGAGAGAGAAAAGGGATGACCTTGAAAATTATGGCAATATGCGAGAGCCTTAGAGTTGTACTGAAAAAGCAGCCACTACCTAATTCACCTGGAATCAAATTTTCTTGCAGCGATGGCTTCTTCCATGACAAAAATTAGATTTGACGGAAATAATTTGGCTCATAGAGAAGCGAGGCAAATTGCAGAAGAGTGGAATTGTCTCAATGGCATACATCAGCAAAAAATACAAGTCCAATAGCGCATGCCCTAACAAGACGGAAGATAGAAGAAGATTTAACAAAGGAGTGGACTTCTCACACTCCAAACTGGCTGACCATTACAGTTCAATTCGAACTTTGGGTGCTTTAGCGTGCAATTTTCTTCTTAAAAAAACCTTATAATAGTATTAATTAGATAAGCCTCTGGTACTTTTTTATTACCAAAATAGTATCGGAAATAATTATTTGAATTTTTTTAGGTTTGGTTGATGGAATTCAAGAGCCAAGACCAGCCTATTTACAATATACCTTATTGATTTGGGCTTGAGTCGATTTTTTTTTTTTTGGAAAGGGTTTGAGTCGGATTTGTATCTCCATTTCTCAAGGTCATATGAGCATGACCTTATACATTGCATCTAAGTCCAGTTAAATTTTAGAAAAGTATTGATTCTATAAATAGTTTCTTTATTTGTAAGTAAAAGAAATGTCCTTTAATGTATATTTTTGGCCAACCTTATTCTTCTAAAAATCCATATTTTATACTATTATCAATTCTTCTCTACTTTGATTATTAAAGGAGGACTATATTAATTATCTAAAACCAAACAAAATAGTTGGTTTCTAGGTTAAAAATAATGGACCCAATCTTAAATTTACCTACCATCTATTGACGGATACAAAGAGCAACATTCTTAACTACATACAATAATACTCTTTCATTTGAAATCATATATACCATCATAATCAGTCGAGTTGAATGAAGTCTTTATCAAACTTTTATCGATGATGTGCTCCAACATCATGTTTGATTACCAATAAAATATAACGACAATTAAAAAAGGACTCGGAAAATATAGATTTGTATAAATATAATAAATACGTTTTTTTTATAATAAAGTTTTGATAAAAGACACCAGGAGAGGTTAATGCAAATATCTTGTGACCTTCATTGATTGACAATCATTAATGTGTGTAATGATGTATAACACCACTCTTTCGATAATCTACTAGTTATTGTCAACCTAAACATAATTCAACTATTAAGACATATACATCTAATAAAAAAAGTCATGGATTCGACCCCACTCCCACGTACTGTACTGAAATAAATGCACTAATTATTTATATATAAGGACTTAAAAGATGTAATATAACTATTTATTTCCATAGAGGTCATTATTTTTGCCATTTGATATATGTCTTTTCATAAGTTCGTATCTTCTCGTACTGTATATATTTTTTCATATTAATAAATACATTTGATTTTGATTTGTTTGTTAGTTATATACCAACCAAATTGAACGTTGATTGAGATATTATCATTTTGTTCGACTCCATCCACTATAAAGTATTCACTGCCTCAATTATATTGTGAAGAGACCAAAAGAAAAATATCTAAAGCACCGGTAGGTAATAGTTTTGGTTTTTCTTTCCCTTTTCCTTTTTTGTTTTTGCGTTTTTTAAAAATAAAAAATTAAATACTAGCCCTGATTTGAATTCAAATCAAGCCCCCTGCTGTTTATCTTCTATAAAAATATTTTTGAACAAATACTTAAATTTGAAAAAAAGGGTTTGGGAACTATTTATTTAAAACCTCTTTAATGACCATTTTAAATTTTAGTTTTATATTTTTAAAAAGTAAATTTAACAAAACTACTTATGTTTATGTTTTATTAAAATCATGTCCCAATTATTAGGTGTAATTTTTAAAAATTAGTCTGTAAACTTATAAATATTTTTAAAGATTAGATTATTCGACCATCCCTTGCTATTATATTCGTGGAAGCATTATTAATTAAATGATTTAATTATTATTGTAAAAAAATTGGTTCCAGTTTTCTCATGGATGTATTCGCATTCTCAAATTATTGTGGGCTACAAGCCTACAAGGTTTGGCCCGCTACCCTCATGTCCTCCCACGGGCCCATATTCTATGGCCCGGGGTTGGCCCGCTGCCCTAATTTATTGTCAAAAGTTAATTCATAAAGAAGTTTCAATTTAATTTCTCCCAAAATTTGGTTGACTATCGCATTCAATTTTTCAAGAAACAATAAAAAACTACACGAGCCAACTCTTTAACATCTATCTAATTTAAATATTTGAATCTTTATTCTACATTGTTAAACTAAAAAAAAAAAAAATGTTAATCTTTAAAACAGGCCATTAATACATTAAAAAAATATAGTGTATTTTTTTCTTATCGAATTCAAGGGAAAGGTATAACATACCATTTTGGATGAACAGAAAGCCTAAATGGAGAACTCGGCAGTAGCACAAAATATATTGACTTTAAAGAATTAATTAATCATATATTATTTTACTTGAAAGTCAACTTTTGAATTCCCACATAGCATGGTCTATTTTTTGAAATAATTTTTTGTTTACAAAAGTATCATACGAGAATTAAAAAGAAAGAAATTAATAAAGAAGTTACTGCATCCGACATTAAAAAGAAACAATTTTCTGAAATGTAACTCTCTTCGACCCGTTTGAAGGAACTCTCTCATTTGGACTTGAGCATTTAAACCAATTGAAACAGTAAAACAACAGTAACTCCCTCTCTCCCTTGGTTCCTTCATCTTGGTTGTGGTTCTATAATCTAATCTATATAAATTAAGACCCCAACTCCAAAAGTATTGTGCACAACAATAATCCTATAATTCCAATCAATATAATGGCCTCTCAACTCTTCTTCCTCTCTCTCATTTCTTTCGCCCTCTTGTCTGCAGCCGCTTGTTCCGCTCGTGGCTTGAACATGAACGCCATCGACAGATGCTGGAGATCCAACCCATATTGGAGGAGAAACAGGCAACAGCTAGGTGTTTGTTCGGTGGGTTTTGTGGGGAAAATGACCAACAACATCGGAAGAAACCTCATACGCTACCAAGTCACTGACCCAAGTGACGATCCCATAAACCCTCGCCCGGGTACCCTTAGATATGGCGCCTCTGTCATCAGAGGCAAGGTGTGGATCACATTTCGGAGGGACATGCGTATCACGCTTCACAAACCGCTCATGATTAGTAGCTTCACTGCCATCGATGGCCGAGGTGCGACCGTCCATATTGCAGGGAATGCGTGCCTGATGGTGCTTAGGGCCAGCAATATTATAATCCACGGGCTTATTATCCACCACTGCAGGGCCCAGGCCGCAGCCCAAGTGATGGGCCCAAATTCCAAGATCATTTCCTTAGGACACGTGGATGGAGATGCCATTAGATTAGTTACGGCCTCGAAGGTTTGGATCGACCACAACACGCTGTACCGATGCGAGGACGGATTGCTGGATGTGACCAGAGGGTCCACCGACATTACGATTTCGAACAATTGGTTTAGAGATCAGGACAAGGTTATACTTCTGGGACATGACGATGGTTACGTTAGAGATCGGAGGATGAAAGTGACGGTGGTGTACAACCATTTTGGACCCAACTGCAACCAGAGGATGCCAAGGTGATTAAATTAACAAACATTATATTATTGGTATTGTATTTGTTGTGGTAACATGCTTCGAGATTAAAATTAAATTGTTAATTAGGATTCGATATGGGTATGCACACGTGGCAAACAATATGTACCAAGGGTGGACGCAATACGCGATAGGAGGGAGCATGAATCCAAGCGTGAAGAGTGAAGCCAACCTTTTCATCGCATCAAAATCGAAAGAGGCAAGATATGATTGGGTTTGATAATTATATAATATTTATTTTATTTTATGAAAATTAATAAAAGAAAATATTGAATTGGCGGTTGCAGGTGGTATGGAGTACAGGAAACGTGGAGGAGACAAAGTGGAATTTTCATTCAGTGAGAGACGTTTTTGAGAATGGGGCTTCGTTTGCACAAATTGGCGTTGGCCGAGGAGTGGTAACGCCAAACTACAACGCGCAGCAACGGTTTCAAGTGGCAGACGCCAAGTGGGTGAGGTCGTTGACCACATCCTCAGGGGCTTTGCGTTGCGCACGAAACTCAAGGTGTTAAATCCTTTTTATCTCGACCAATAACACCTCGCCCATCATCATCATCATCAATATAATGGAACCTCTTCACGGTTTTATTTTATAAATAAATGGATTCTATCTATATTTTGATAAATCCACCTACAATAAAACTATATATATATATGAGCAGATGAGAGACAATTTTTTTTTCCTTTTAATATTGCCATTTAATCGATCTCTAGACTCAAGTAATTAATGAGGATATGGGATGGTGTAATCCACTCTTTCTCGTGCTTTGTATCATCTTAAATTTAGTTCAATGCAATATATTAATGAGCATCTCCAAACTTTTTTAATAGTTTCTTTGTACTACATTTTTTTCCCCCACAAACTTCTTCTCCATACATATATACATATACACCAAATAAGAAAAAAAAAATACAAGTATAGTATGACATTATTTGTTTTAGACATAAATCTCACCGCCGTTTTAGTTTTGGTTTTACCTAAAAAAATCTCAATAATGGTCTCGTCTATATACTATAAATTACTTGATCTATATGTTTTAGTCATGGGTGTGATGACTTTGTTTAAATAGTTTGCAATCCCAATCTATCCGACCTTTATTTTGTGAGTTATATACATAAGAATATGTGTGACAGTACTAGTCCATGAGTAATGGATGATATAAAATCATAAACATATTGCGATGTTGATCTGTGTTGTAGAATATATGGGCACATTGAAAGTTGAAGAAATGAGAAATAAAGGGGAAGAATTGACGAACACACTGAACGAAAGAGGCTTTAGTTCAATTATGATAGAAGGAATAATATTGAAAAACTAACTTAATTAACTTAACTGCTGCAGCAGAGCAGGGTGTAGGGAGTAGGTGCAGAATGTGGCAGCACGCGAGCGATGCCGACATTCCAAATATGGTCAATTAAAAGTACATATATATATATATATATATATTAAAAACACAGACACGCAGAGAGAGAGAGAGAGAGAGAGAGAACTTGGAGGATACGTATAGTGTAGTGTGTGTGAAAGAGAGAGATGAGAGATGAGATGGGAGGCGGTGGTGGAGTTACAATAAGTATAACTAAAGGGCTTCCGGGAAACGTTTGTCCAAGAATCTCCAAAAGAGAAAAGAAAAAAAGAAAAAGAAAACGATCCCAATCCCAATCCCAATCCCAGTCCCCCGGCCGCCTGCTTTTAGTTATAAGTTTCAACCATGTATGTGTGTATATATAGGGCGGTGTGGCGATACATGTGGAGAAGAAAGGAAAGAAAAGTATGGCGCCAGTGGGTCTGCCTCCAGGGTTCAGGTTTCACCCGACGGACGAGGAGCTGGTGAACTACTACCTGAAGAGGAAAATCAGCGGGCAAGAAATAGAGCTGGATATAATCCCGGAGGTGGACCTGTACAAATGCGAGCCTTGGGAGCTGTCGGACAAGTCGTTTCTGCCCAGTAGAGACCCGGAGTGGTACTTCTTCGGCCCACGAGACAGAAAGTATCCCAACGGCTTCAGAACCAACAGGGCCACCAGAGCCGGCTACTGGAAATCAACCGGAAAGGACCGCCGGGTCACCTCACAGAACCGCCCCATTGGGATGAAGAAGACCCTCGTTTACTACAGGGGCCGAGCCCCCCAGGGCATCAGGACCGACTGGGTCATGCATGAATATCGCCTCCACGACAACGACTACTGCGACAGCGACACCTCCGCCATCCAGGTATTTCCTAATTTAATTTGCAATTTTACTTACTTTACTTATATACCTTTAATTAATTTGGAATGATTACCTATTACCGACTTCTTTTCCTTTTATATATTGTTGGGTTCCGTTCAAAAGATTTTTTTGCATTTGTTGTTGTTGGTTGGCTGGCTAAGGGTTCTCAAGCTCTCTAAAGTTCGCCACATTCTTCCAAATTAAAGGTCTAAAACTAGTGCTCAAATCATATCAATCAAAGGACTCCACCGAAAGCTGTTTTCCTCAGACTCTCATCCACCATTTATTTATCAAACTTATCAACTTTGACTTCTACTGTCTCCTTCGCTGACACATGCACGCATGCTTCTCTCTTTTTTCTTAAAACAAAAACATGTTTCTTTACTCTTTTTTTTTCCCTTGCTTTCAAGAATCTTTGGTTTTAAGCTCATTTATAATTTAGTACCTAAACTTTTGAAATTATTTTAGATGCTTAAAGTCTAAAGACCTACGAGATTATACTATTCTTAAAAATAGTTTTTCATGAACTAGAGCAAGTTGCTGACACGCCTCCTGTGGTCGGACTTATAAAAAGATAAAATTGAACTTAATTGTAAAATTTTGCCTCTCTACAAGAGGGACGGGGGTGTAATAATATTAATAGAATTGTAGAGGGCACAGCAAAACAGCATGACAAAAATGGACATAAATGGGTGACATATTCTTTACTTGTACCAGGATCTGTGAAGCGATAAAGTTGGGTTTGGGTTTGGGTTTTGTTTTGATATGGCAGATGAGACAAAAGTGCAATCTAATTCCCCCTATGACTTAAAACACACCAGCTCTTATTTTGTTTGGTTGTAAAAGAAGATGTCTCCCACTTTTCACTTTATTCCAATCACCAAAATCACCCAATGGATCTCTCTTTGTCCACGAGTTTTACATACGATACAACTAATTAACTTACCTTTCTTTCTCTCTCCCTCTCCCTTCATTTAAATATGACCTAATAACATCCTCTTTTTCTTTGTTTTCTCTCAACTTTATATATATAAATAACATTTTAATTAGACGATTCTCATTCTATTTCTGCTTTTACTTTCAATACTATTACTATGGAGTCTTTATGCATGGATTTAGAACATAATCGAAACATCTAAAATTTGTATTAAAGGCGATGCAAATTCAATTTTGTTAAGATATCTTAATTAAAGTAAAAGAGTGTAGATTAAAATAAGTGTAAAAGGTGTCGAAGAATGGCTGAAATTTTTAAATATAAAGTAGTTAGAAGAGAAGAGTAACGGAGAGATAAAGTCAACTCGGAAAATTGGAAGTGTCGTTTTTTTGTTTTATTTTTATATTGGGGGTTGCAGGATTCTTACGCCTTGTGTAGAGTATTCAAGAAAAATGGAATATGTTCGGAAGTGGAAGAAGCAGGAGGACAGAGCAGCAGCAGCGGCTTGTCGTTCATGGACAACTCAACGTCACAAACTTTGATGAATCATGACTACGAGACTCTGTCACCGGATGTTCTGATGGCGGCTTCGTCTTCTTGTGTGGAGGAGGAAGAGAAGGACGATTCCTGGATGCAGTTCATTACAGAAGATGCATGGTGCGCTTCCAATTCATCACCCATCGCCGGCGCCGGCGCCGGCCTCGATGACCTCTCTCATCTGACTTTCACCAATTTATCATAAGCCATATTGGTTACCACTAATAATTTATAGATTTAATGGATGGTATATTTTTTTTTCTACTTTAATAATTAAATACGAACCACGTCATCATCATCATCATGTGAAAGGGCGAGCAAAATTTTTAAGGATGGTCAGATTTGTCTGTCTGTAGATTATGTATTTTGGATTCCGGGTTTGGGTTTGGTTGGTGACTTCTTCTTTAATGTAGCCGTAGGGTCACTCAAATTAATCAAGTAGAACAACAAGACTCTATGGAATATATTTTGGTTTCACCTTTTTCTCGGTGAATTATATCTCATCTCTGGGTGTTACTTAAATAAACAACATCATCATCATCATATACTCATTCCTTTTTCACTTTTCTAAAGCTGTCCATGATATTTCTAACAACCAACAACCAAGGACTTAAATATTCATGCTGATGCTGACAAAAAGAAACCAGCTTGGTCTGTATGGGCAGAATTAATTATATCTTATTCTCTCCATATAAGTTCAGTCAAGAACACTGTTTCATATTCCATCATAATATAGTTGAGCACCGCCCATAATTTAGGGTCATCCATTTGGCTTCTGAGGAATCTGTTTTTGGTGGTGTACAAGGGTTATGTTAGCTGCTGTGCCAGAAGGCTGGTGACATTACCTTGAATGAAAAGAGTAGCTAGGACAGATGAAATCAGTCTTCCATTTAATTACTTCATGCATGTATACTTCTTCTGCATTATTCAAATCTTCCACTTCTTGAAATCCGTTGAGCTTAACATGAAGGAGCTTGCATTTCTATGGCCCCCACCTCCAAATTCCTGACAAATGAAAGGAAAAATTGAAGGGTTGAGATCTAGAAAAAACTATTACTGTCCTCTCTGAAGATAAATAGGAGGAGCTCAACCTGTGATATGGGAGTTGTGTCTTCGTCGCGCACACTTCTAAGACTTATTTTCAACATTTGATTGTTCCCAAGAGCAGGGACTCGGTATACGATGGCCCCAATGCCTCTACAAGATTAAAGAACATGAATGAAAAAAAACTGCAAAAAGTGACATTTACTCTGGGGAGAAAATGAAGAAAATGAAAAACAAGGAATATGAAGAATTTTGAGACAGAAATGAAGATGGGTTAATATGCTGTTCGTTCAAATCTCCCTATTTATTTAAAGGTGGATAACAGAGGCGAGTGACTATACCTTCATTTCTTTACTAAAGTCAGTTGTCCTAGTCTGGAAGTTACGACTATAAACTAACTGTCAATCTCTATGATGAACAACTTTACAGGGACAGGGGAGAGTGCAGAAGCCATGGCCAATAGAGATAATGAACGGTTATTTTGGGCATGACAAATTTTAAGAGCAAGTCTAGAAGCCTTGACACAACAAAATAAACAAAGAACACAGCCAGAGCTAATGAAGAAGAAAAGGGCATAAGGCATTTCAGAAAGCAACATCCATAGGACTATCAGATGACATTTTCATTATAGAACACTCTCATAAATTCTGAAAACGATCAGGAAACAGATACTAATAAGAAGCAACGAATATTTTCTGGATACGACAATAAAAGTGTGCCTCAGATCATATGAGTAGAAAAGTTGTCGTACCTTAAATTTAAATTTTGACTCTTAGTAGCCAATTGGTGTCCTAATTCACTCCTTAGTTCCGAAATAGAATCTGCATCAACAGCCTATTGGGTGGGGAACAAAATCAGAGAATGTAAATGTTTATTCATTTTTTCCTATTTCGTAGTTATTTCCCAATTTTCAGCTTACTCTCTTAACATATATAATGGGCACCAAGCAACGTAGACTGTGATTTGATGATTATTCATTTGGAAAAGAAGATCTCAACCTATTGAATTCAGAACCACCATTTTAAAAAATATAATCAAGCCAAGCCAACATGACAAACTGTTTATTTTGAATTAATAATTCACACAACATGATAATAACATCTAATTTCAAAATTCAACTCAGTTAGCAAGATGGATAAAGATAGAAAAAAGTGATCAGTGGACCCACCAGACAACATCCAAAAGCTCCACCACCGAGTGTAATGCTATATGATTGATTAAGAGCATCATCTATTAATTTTTGCTTGTGTGATAAACTCGCCATTCCTTGACCAATCATAGTCTCCATATCCAGAGATAGTAACTGCAAGAACATACACTCTGTAATCATCTCCAGTGTTATTGACCTATTATAGTCATCCAAGAGAATGGAGACATTCTACAAGAGAAGGATGTAATGTGCTCTATAGTTGAAATAAAACCTCAATGGATGAAAGATGCAAGATATGCAGCTAAACTTCTTAGAACAAGTAGCATAAGAAACTCCACTCTAATCTTCCGTTTGACAAACATCTTTTGCATTCATTTTCATGAGGGTGTTCATTGAAGACTAAGAAAACAAAGAGCTGATAAGAAAATTGTAATTAAACTTTCTCATGAGCTTGAAAAGCCCCACATTCCTGTAAATCAGTGCCTTGCAAATTAATCTCGCTACATCAAGCTTCATAATTACTATCTATGTTATCTAGAATCCATCAAGATTCTTCTATATCTTACTGCACTGCCTAGCTAATTGGATGAAATTATATTTTTCAGAACTTTCAGAGTGCAAAAGGGGAAATTACCTGATCAAACAAGCGAGGATTCAAGAGGGTATCATATTCAAGATTCAGATCTTTCAACCCACTGCTTACAGCTTTACTATTTGGGAGACTCCACCTCCAAAGATCCCCATCCTCGATGTATTCATAAAGTGTCCTCATGCGCTCAAATTCATTTAGCACTTTGTCATGGCAAGAACCAACATCGAATTTCCCGTGAGCAACTTGTATTAGCTTTTGCTTGAAATAGTCAAAAGCTATCGTAGCTCCACTTCTCTGAATATCTATGACTTTAGTCACATTTTGACCAGATGAAGATTCATCGCCAAGCTTTTCAAGAGCCGTCTTGTGGTGGTCCAGTATTATCACTCTAATGACACAGAGGAAAAAAAAACGGAAGTGATCATTAGAGAGATACATTTTCTAAGCAATCACAAAAACAACAAGAGAGAGAGACCATCATGGAACTGGAACAAGCTCAAATTGTTCCAGTGCTTTTCATCTACTTTTTCCATCCCAAATTGTAAAATTAAGCAATAAAAATAAGTTTATTGGAAGGAAAGTTATTACACGTGCATCTCAAATAAAGAATGATATGAAGCATGAAATATGGGAAACACCTGGTAACTTTTGAGGATAGTTCCTGAACGAATCCAGAAGGTCCCACAAAATCCAAAAGGTAAACGTCATCAATTTGATGCAGGGGAAGCTGCTCCGTTCTGAAAGGAAAAAGAAAACATTAGAATGGTGAAATATGGAGTTTCAACGCAGTTTAAGCAACGAGACTGAAGGAAAATGCAGACCTGAGAGGATTGTAGACGGTATTGGGGAAGAAAAAAGCGGGAAGAGAAGCGGCCGAGAAGTAGAGATGAGCGGCAAGAGCGGCGAAAGCACCATCAGGACAGGGATAGTGATAAAGCACCGCCGTAGATTTAGTGTTCACCGATTTCACCATCGGAGGAGCTAAACCAATCCCACTCTTCAGCGATTTAACCACCAACGTTAAATATCTGCCTCCAAAATCTAACACTAGGCTTAGGCTACAAAAGGATTAGGTAACAGTCTAGGATAGGAATTAGGAAATATAAACTTTGTCTGCTTTTTCCACTATTTACTTGTCAAATTAGTTTCCATTCAGTTTTTAATTTCAAATATTTTCAAATTTTAAATTTCGATTATTTTCATTTATAAGCTTAGTTGGTTTTATTTTATTTGAGTATGAGAGGTACAAAAATTGAAGAAGGTACATTAGAAATTTTCTAATTTATAATTCAACCAAAAGTAATTTTATAACTTGACTTGACCACCGAAAGATTAATGCGATACGGTGTCGTTGTGGCGGTCCGGAATTGACAGAAAAATCGGTACGGTCCCCATTCTTCCGGATTGCGAATTCCCCAAATCCTGACCGGCTTTCGGGTAAAGCGCCGGAGGAAACGAAAATGACCGCCGGATTGCTATCTGCAGCTGCTCCGAGACCGTTGTTTCAGACCACTCTTAATAACCATATCCGTAGAACGGAGATGCATATTCGAATTCAAAGCATCCCATACCAATTGGGTTACGGGACGCCACTCCCTTTCTTCTATGTGAAAGTGAAGAAGACTCATCCAGAATCGCCGCTCTTTTCGGTGAACTGCGTCTCTTCTACACCGTCGCCTTCTACCAGAAGACACACGCCTTCAACCAGGCTCTACGTCAGTGGTTGATTCTCTTTCTCTCAATTGTATATGTTGCACTTCATTTTGTTTACTTCCTCACTTTATCGAGGCGTAATTTTGCTTACTATATCCGTTAAAATAATTTGAATGGTCCGACTTCACGCTTGCAGGACTTTCTTTCCGGACGACTGAAGAGAGCTTGCGAAATGCTTTCAAAAGCTTTGGCCAACTTATAGAAGGTCGTCGACTAATACAATTGTGCATTGTGGTCAGTAGATTTCAATTACTCATATTTGGCGCTAACTGCTATCAATTGTTGTAAGTTTCAGTCAATTTGGTGATGGATAAAGTTGCCAATAGACCAAGAGGATTTGCTTTCCTCCGTTATGCTACTGAAGAGGAATCTCAAAAAGCTATCGACGGAATGCACGGCAAGGTACTTTACTGATTTCTTCCAAATGTGTTTAGTTTTCGCAAATGCATATTAAATTGAAGTTCGTTTTCTTCTATTTTCATTATGGATTGGATGTATGTATGTTTTATATTCTTAATCGCCAAAATCCACTTAATAATCAAAATGTGTGTTGTGAACTGCTGTGATGAGTCGGCAACTATCCATTTTGATGTTTTTCACTAACCTGTAGCCAGAGTAGTATTATTCATAATAGTTTTGAAAATTTTATTGAGTCTATATCTTATTTGAGTTAGGGAAATTTTAACGCTCTTTTCTCATTCATTGTCATTATGCATATGGCTAACTGTCTAGAAGGTTATCTCTAGCCATAGGACGGAGATATATCTATATGAAATCTAAACAATTATAATCTAGAGATTACAAAGTTCAGTTCCATCACCTGTCATCTTCAACAAGCCTTTTCAGTATAAACAAATCCTCCTCGATCCTAAAATGTAATTTTCTAGAATGCACAATACCATACAGTAGGCAAAATTTTACCTTAATTGAACTCAGATTTAGGTATTACACACGCAGCAGTAAACCTCAAAATTCTCCACAAATTTAGCAAAAGAATAGATATCTAGTCATTGGAATTGTTATACCTTCATACGACAAAATGAAAAGTTGTGCGAGATAGCACTACTGCTTCAATGGATCTGTTTGCTGTCAATACAGTTGAATCCTGGTGCAAGTATTAGTTATCATGAATGAATTTAGTTTTGTCGCATCAGTGGATGTTTATTGATCACTAGGTAGGTCTCTTATTAGTCTCGAGATTACACTTGGATCTTTGGATTAACAATGTTTGGAGGAAGAAAGCCAGTTATAGAACCTTCTCTAGGAATTTCTGTTTTACATCATTCAGAAGCTTGGAAGGAATTTATATAATTAAAGGAACATAGTACCTAGGAAACTTGTTCATGATCTCAGAGTATTCGAGAGGCCTCGTCTCTCCCCCTCTCTCGTGAGCCAAGTGGAATGTCTCGACAGGCAGCTACTACTTCACTCCCTTTTTTCCATTCCTCCCCAAAGCTTTCCTATTCACTTATAACTTACCTAAGAAACCAATAGTTCCAACTAATTATGACTAAACTAACATTGTTGTTTCCCCAACAATTACATCTCCTCCACATCACTAGAACTAGTGGCCGACTGTCATTCTCCTTTCCTTGCCCTTCACAGTATAAGTAAACCATTGGGAGGCTTGGAAAGCCTATCAATGGCCACTTAAACTAAAATATCAAACGTTTCTAGAATTTATATGGCATGTTGTGCATAATTAATAATTATGGAATTCAGTATAATATAATTTATCATGGAAATGAAGGAGAATTGATCAGAGATAAATCATGTTTTAAATCCTAATCGTTGGCTTCACTCTTCATTGGACGATCACTGTTCACTGAACTGGTTATGAAAATATTTTTGTTTGGAAACTGAAGCAACGGAGTTTGCATAAATGAGTTTCAGAATTGACCTCAAGGTTTCTTCCAATTTATAATGGGAACCATGTTTGTGAAGTTAATAGTCAAAGAACTTATTCTCAGGTTTATTTGATGGATATACCCTCCCCACCTCTTCCCATTGGCAAGCATGATGGATATGCTATTCTTATCTTTTGATGCCACGGAAAAAAATTCCATGACCACCTGCAAGTGAAAAAGGCTACTTTTGAAATCTAGCATATAGCTGGGAGGGTCGAATCCATTCCATCTGATTCTAGTTGTCTTTTTTATCTTTGATGAATCTTACTGGCTTAAATTTATAAGCGCATATTAGTTTCTAGAGCAGTGGCTTGATGGGCTAATGGGGGCAATTTTTTTGGTTTAGTTTCTGGATGGCAGGGTGATCTTTGTGGAAGTTGCAAAATCCAGATGGGAGCTTCGCCAAGGCACTAAAGAAAATTCCAGCTAAGTCTAGTAGATAGTGATCATCGTTTCCCTCAGATTCATCTTTGAAGGAACTGTAATTTCTTTTAGAAAAAAGTCTATATGGACAAGCTCTGCGTTATTGGTATGAAGAAGCAATCTTGTCTGTATGATATAGCCTACGTGTTATTCTGGAGCAGCATTGTCACTTGAAATGAAATGATATTGATAGTAATAATGGGCATTGGTCAAGTGGATCACCTAACCAGTATGAATAATTGAGACATTGGCTACAGTCGAGGATCGAAGTTGTGATTCTAACTTATAAGAATACTTAAATGCTGAAGCGCTGACTTCTAAAAATATTTAAGAGGACTTTTAGGAACCAGACATGGACTCGTGAGAATGTGTGGGACATTAATCCAAAACAAGGATATGCTCTCGTCCCGTCCCGTCCCTCCTAAAATCACAAGGACAGGTCAAGGATCTTTTGGAGATTTGTTAGAATGGGGAAACCCCTTGGATTTTTCTCTCGTAATATAATAAGTTGTAATGTTTAATGAGTTTCTTCAATTTTTGTACTTTAGCGTAACTTTTTTACCATAAAAAACACAGATATCCATGAACTATTAATATTTTGTATATTGTAAATTAATAATTAGTTATCTTAACTTTCTACTTATATAATTTCGGGGGAGGTTCGACTGGGGTCAGAAATGCACTTCATGTTCTTGTTGTCTGCAAAATTATAATGGAGAAAATTCTCTTTTTCATCCTTCAAGAGTGGGGTTTCCACTTTCCATTCCATTTGGATGTGCGTTTTAGATGCTTGAAAACGTGAAGGTAGTAATCGTTTTTTGAGCATATGATTTATTAAAGTTAAAATTTATTTATTAATCATTTAATTCCAATAACAATATTATAAATCAAGTTAAATTAAAATATTTTTATATTAATTTAATGATTGAAATTTTAATGAACGTGAAAAATAAAAAATTGAGAAGGCCATGCAAATGCAGCTTAGTTCACGGTGATTGAGGTAATTAACTCAAACCCCAATTGTTGTTGAGGATACTTTTGGAAATTACACACTGATTAGGGGGTTCAGGAGTCTCTCTCTTTCAAAATTCAAGATATATTGCTGAGGAAATCAAAGTTAACTATGTGAAAAAAGTGAATAAAAACCTCCAAAAATAAGATTTTCAAATATGTCAGAAGTCATAGAGCAACATCGTATGTTTTACAGATTGAATAATTGTCACTCGAATATCCCCCCAATGTTAAAACGGAAAAGCCATGAGCTTTGCCCATCCTGTTGCTTTGAGTATGCTACAAATCTGGCCTCCATTTTTCGTCTCGAGCAAAAGAGAGAGAACTCAAAAACCCATGTCAGAGGTTCTTTGTTATTTCCTTTCATCGACGACCTTAAATCTGTTTGCTGGACCAATTCCGCTAGATTTTGCAGAGGCTATGAGCAAATCCGAGCTCTCCGACCCTCTCTCTCTTCTGAAACAATCAGCGAAGAGCTTGTATCTCTCTGAGCCAAGCATCTCTTGTACGGCACAAACCCCTTCTTACTTTCACTTGCATTTCCTCTTCCTACCACACAAGGCTCCTGACATTGTGCTTCTGGCTTCTCATTTTCGTTCCTATCCTTACCCTGAGAACCAGAATATGAATCCGCACAAGAACTTTCCATGGAATTGTCATTTTGCATCCTTTCTTCCATAACATGATCAGTACACGTTCCAGCTGAAGTTTGGTCAGATGGAGCAAGATAAAAACATGGTACATTTTGATACAAAGACCAACATGTTTGAGAGGCATTAGGAACGGCCTTAACATGAAGGACATTTTTTTCCTGATTCCCTGCGGTGTTAGTAGGTGCTTCACCAGGTGACATATTCGAATCACCTTTATCCATTCCAAGACATAAATTTACATCCAAGTGTTTTGAAGGTAGCATCTGAACAGGCTTCTCCGCATACACTTCACACTTATTCTTACTCTCATCGTCAAATTCCAGGGATTCAGTTAATACGGTGTTAGTAGGGGATAGTTTTTTGTCATCAGTTACCATAACTGTCCTTCCAAAAAGCTTTATGCTTCTAACAGGAGAATGCGACTTGTTATCTACTTTCATACGTGCTGATCCAGGCTTGAATTTCTGAATTTTTAGGCACGAGAGAAACAGAAAAAGGAGTTAGATCCTAGACATCAAGTTATGTACGGAAAGGAAGATTAAAAAAGGACATTTCAAATTACCAGTGTTAAAAAGTCTTCTGGGAACCGCTCAGAGGATGATTCGAGTGATAGCATTCCTTTCTCTTCTCCTCCACTTGATTTTGATGGAAGGTACAGCTCCCCCTTCCTGGCCGGGGATAATCTAGTTGACTGCATGTCAACAGCTTGCGAAATAGGTGATGGACATCTATTTTGTTGCTCTGAAACCACAGAAATCTGATCATCCGAACTAAATGCAGTCAATACGGAAGTGGGTGATTGGGTCTCCTTTTCGGCAACTGATAGGTTTGGGGATGGAGACCTCTCTGGTTCTCTTGCAACTGAGATTGCCTTAAGAGAATCAACTGCTTTACGAGGGTAAGGATGCAGTGGTTTCCTTTTTGGTCGAGGTGGAGGAATCTCAATTGGGTTTATGGAGCTCTCATTGCTGCCACTAGACTCTCGCACAACCTGAAACACAAAAGACAAAATAAAAGTTCAGAATAAGAAGGGTTGCTCATAAAGTGTGTAAAAAAATTACTCATCGGATTTGATCAAATGATCAATTTTGGTTACAAATCCACAATCATCCTTTTTATTTATTGTTTGGTAATGATTTTTATTTTTAGGGGGTACTAAAACAGAAGGCATTTTCGACCTTAGAGAAGAATTTCTGAGCATGGCTTCGGATCTGAACAGCTGTTTTGGTGCCTACATGTTCTGCATGAGGATCAAGGTAACACTAAATGATGGGTTGGGAATTGCAAATACCATATTCAGATTTAACTGATGTTCACACAGCCTTACCTTTGATCTGACGCCACCCACGACCATAGAGCTTCAGAGCTTCGAGGAACTTCTGATGCTCTTCCTCTGTCCATTTTTCCCTTTGTTTCGAAATAGTGTAGGGTTTCCTAACCTGTTCATACATTAGACAGGAACTCAGACCCGAACCCTCCCAGAACAGAAAGAGAAGTGAGAAATCGCAGAAATTAATTACGTTACCTTCAATGCATTTTCATTGCCATAGGAAGATAGGGAACTGACACGCATCAGTGGATCCAATTGTGCCCCATCATTGGAAAGGCAATTATTTGCTGCAGTAGAGCCATTTGACAGTGTGCCTTCATTCTTTTCCTGCATTCAAATTGAAACAAAGAAGTTAGACACCTCAAGAAATTGCAGCTAATAATTGGAGAACTCCAAAATCAACTGTCAGGTATTTCAAAATGATAACATTACAACCATGGTAACATTGTAATGGATAGTCTGTAGGAGTATACTCGGCAGAGCAAAGGGAAGCAGAAGGGGAAAAAAGTTTGCTTTATAATATAAATCCACGTCCACCAACAAAGGAGAAAATTTGTAAATTTCATGAGGATCTAATTGGTGGCACACAGTATATCATTCAACACAAATCCGAGCAATTAAAAAAAAAACACACCCAAATTAGTAAAGGGACAAGGTTGTCACTCAATTTTGCAGTCAATCGCTTAGTAAAGGAGAGGGGGGTTCTGATTACTAAAGTGGTTAAGAGATAGAAACTAACAAGTGAGATGTGAGTATTTGAAAACAGGAATTTAGTACTGAAATCTAAAGAACAAGCCACGGACCTAACCTTTCCTACCAATCAACTCTCACAGAGAAAGTTTCCAGGAAAGGGGTATAGAAATACAGAACTTAAACATCAGAAGAGAACAACTTGGGACAACTGGATTACCTGGACACCCATCAGTGCTGGTAACAAAAACCGGTGCGAAATTTTAATCCGTGTACCTGAAATTTGATTTCACGAGGTTCAGCAAGTGCTAAATAAAAAAATCCTAGAATTTGGGAACCAATTTGGAAGTTGGTTCTTTGGGTACTTCTCCAGAGACCCAAAAAACATCCAAACAAGGGGGAAAAACGAAAAACGAAACCGTAAGGTGAGAGAGTGGAGAGTGGATAGAATAGAAGAGTGAGAGTAGAAAAAAAACAAACCTGGTAGAAGGCGATTGGCGGAAGAAGAGGAAAGGAGGGAGGTTGGAAGCAAGAAACTGGA